ACAACAGCTATAGGTAAAACTCGTGATGTAACAAAAAAATGAAGTGTAGGTTGGGGATGTCGGATCAGTCTCCAAGAAAACTATAATCATTAATGGAGAAAATAAAGCAGAGCGTTCTCAAAGGTACAACTCGTGCAAGAGATGCTAAAATCGGGCAATATTGCTGGGCATAGGGACCTTTTAGTAAGCTTGATAAACTCCGCAGATGCTCACACTGAAAAGAAATTAGTCTAACATTTGTCCTCACATTGGGCAGAGATAGTTTGGACATAGCACCGCTTGTGTGAGAGGGGAGAAGTGTGAAAGGATAACGCCTATCAATCAAAATTTTGCCTGTAGGTAAAACGCCATCAACGAATCTAATTTCTTTCACCTGCATAGAAGAAAATCAAGTCCAAGCATCTTGTTCCTGGTGATATCTCTTGGTATCCTATTTCAAATAATAAACGGCACGTTTGTCTGTTTGTCTGTCGGTCCGAAAATTCGGAACCAACTGAAGAGCCAGTTGGAGGGGGCGGGTCAAGGGTGGCGTTGGTAGAGCATGGCCAAGTACACAAAAACACAACACACAACCATGAACACACGATGAACTTAAGCTAAGCCACGGCCCACTGTGGGCAAGGGCCGTTGCGCACAGTTCTGCGCTATACATATTCCAGAAATTAGTTAAATTCGGTTACAAAAGAAGCCCCGAGAGTTGCGAAAAGTGAGCCAAACGATAGACAATCAGTTGGGCGACGAATGAGCGGGACACACCCATTGCGCGCGGAGCGTACTCATAGGTGGGCGATGCTTGCTACGAAACTTTGAAAAAATTCATGAATCGGTCTCCAAAAGCTCGAGAGCCAGAAAAAGTAGCAACCGATAGGCAGTCAGTTGGCGCGATAAAAATGAAGTTGAGACTAAACCCATTCTAGGTAGGCGTTCTGTAAGTGGGCGGTGCTTGCAAATTTCAAAAACCCGTAGTCCCAAGGAGGATGTGGCCCACCCCGTAAAAGTGCGGTAATTCTCAAAACATTATTTTTTCAATCATTCGGGCCGGCCGAAACCAGCCGATGCAACTGGCCCTCCCTCACAATGGAAAACTTCTCACCGCGGGACCCTCTTCACACGCGGAAGGAGGATCGGTTTTCGAACCGGCCGATCCTACTGGCCTTCCCTCTCATGGAAACTTCTCACCGGGACCCACTTCACACGCGGCGAGGATGATCGCGCCGCTGGCCTTCCCGTCTTCTTCTTCTTCTTCTTCCTCGGCGTTTGTCCCGCTTGATGACGTCCGCTTTTTTGATATATTTTAGGTTGTCGCCACAAGTTCTTATACACGACTTTTTTGTAAATATCTCAAAAGCGAAATAGCCGGATATTAGAGCGTTACTGCACCCCATCACCATTCACTACTCGACGCCCAGCGCTCAGGCAGACTTGTCGATTCCATCCCTTAAAAACAACGGAGGCTGGGACTTGAAGAAGCGTCGAGCGCCTCTCTTGTGACCTGATCCTTTGTTTGAACCTTTTTCCGTCCAGATAGCGCTGCAGGTCGCTGAAAGCCAGTAGTCAAAAGGAGCCAGGTCAGGGCTGTAGGAGGGTGGGNGACCATCAGCCATCCANACTTCTCCAGCTCGGCCTGGGTCGCCTTCGCAGTGTGAGGTCGGGTGTTGTCATGGTGGAAGTAGATTTCCGCATTCCTTCCACGAGGTCGACGTGATCTTTCAATTTCCGCAGCTGGGTCACGTATGTGGAAGCGTCAATCGTCTGTCCCTTCTCCAGCAGCTCCCAGTACTCCATGCCTCTTCTAGACCACCAACAGTACAGGAGAACCTTTTTGGGGTGAAGGTCGGCCTTTGGGGTGGCTTTGGCTGTTCTCCTCTGTCGATCCACTGCCGCTTCCTCACAGGGTTATCGTAGAGGACCTACCTCATCTCCAGTGCTCATCGAGTTGAGAAAGTGAAGCCTCTTTTGGAAAGTGAGGAGAGATGTGCAGGTGGTCACCCTCCTCGAGAGGTCATAAGCGGCAAAGGGATTGGTATGAAGCGGCCGTGATGCTGCATGCATATATGGGTACACATATGCAGCCGTATCTTCGGTAGCGGTGATTGGCAAGATGCGTACGGAAAACTGGTCCGAAATTGATTTTCAAGTCATTGAAAATGGAGGCTTCTTCTTCGTCGGATTTTGATCTTTTCGCCCCGTTCTTTCGCCATTTCCCACTACACAGCGCCCTACTAGCATTTTAGGCTAAGTAGGAAACCATCGTGCCAACTGCCTTTAAGGAAGCCGTACTGGTCCGTATTACGTGTCGGATTACAAACCGTACGGACTGTGTGATATTTAGTCAAGGGATCATCGAGGAGGTCATTCAATAAATTGCTCATAAGCGTGGCAGGGTGAGTTTGATGTGTCTTACTGTGTCATCGATGGGATGTCGGAAACGAGTCCAAGCGGTAAAAGCGGCCCACCGATTCTAGAACTGCAGACAAGTAACAAAGGGCGAGGATCAGGATCCTCAAAGGTGAGGATTCAGCCTGGCTCGAAACTCCCAATACGGCACAAGACTTCTCTCTCAATACTGGTGTATGTAGTACCAGTCTTTCTGAGCTTCATCCACTTACTCGTCTTCCAATAAATCACAGTGACTTTCATAGAAATATGGACCAATGGGATATGGGCTTAATGTGGTCCAAACAGCTCTCTAAGTCAGCTGGCGGGCTCCTATCTAACAGACAAAATGATAGCAACGGTGTGTTTCCTTTGACACTGTCTTAACTTACACTCTAATCCCTGAGATGTGCCCGGCGCCGCCACGTGCTTCAACTTGACATGGCGATGACTGTACTTTCGGTAAGATATTTTCATTTTTACATAACTTTGGTCATGTCTCCGTCAAACTCTGGACAAGATGGCAGTTGTCTCGAACTGAGGTATCCCACGAGTAACCCACCGTAACATGTTCGAATACCACGCCTCTCTCTCAGGGATAACGAGTCTCAGTTTTAGATACCGAGATCAACGTGCAGAAGCAATACAACCGGTGTGTTCCACTAATGTTGCGTACCATTAGATCAACTCGTCATTCGGCAAGCCACAGACGATCCCCAGGTCTCTTCCTGGACATACAGGGAGAAAAGTCACTTTTCTTCATTGATTCGAGGCGCTATAAGTTTCACTTTATTCAATTCTGATGGGATATTTTTACCACCACACTGAAGAGCATATCAAATACTATCATGACACGCCACAGCCTTCTGGACGAGCGCCATTGAGAGATTCTGGCACGCGACCGCGATGTGGTGCTTGAGATCAGCGAGATAGTCGATTTCTCCGCTATCGAAGACCACCCCATTGAACTTCGCCCGAACCGGGTAAATGAGGGGATTCAGGTCAGGTGACCTACTTGGATATTCCATCTTCTTTAGGGACTCAGCTTCCTTCCATTCCAGTAGGCGATGGTTCCTTAACGCCCTTTGATTTTATGTGGTGGCACTCAATGCTGTAGCAGTACAAAGTTTCCAAGAAGGTACGGCGACCACATGTGAGGAGGATATTTTTTACGAGCTGCCCAATGTAACCGCCAGCGCTCACCTTCAGCCGGGGTCTACGAAGAAAATATTGGTCTTTCCATTCCAGGTACGTCCGGTCCATACCACCAACCCGCGCCTTGGCGACTGTGCTGAAGATGATGTCCTAGACAGTGACGTCGTTGTCGGAGCTGCTCGATGTTGGAGGTCATCCAGATCGAGAGTACTGGTCTCCAGGTAACTATCCATGGGTGACTCCATGCTTGAAGTTTCGCAGCTCTTCGGAGGTGACATTTACCAAAGGTCTTCTCCAGTCAGGCTGTGACTGGAGATGACTTCATACTTTGGTGTACATGAAGGTGATGGGCGACAGCCAGCTCCTGTTTATAGAGGAACATCTTGGGTATCTTCCTGTAAATGGAGACCCAGCGTTGCGACGATGAACTGGTTTTTCTGGGGAACAACGTATCAATAAAAAAGCAAAATAACGGAGAAAACGCTTTTCATTGACGCTTCTGGGACGAAATAGAAGAATGGCATGAAGCATTCCTCAAGTAACGGTCAGGGCCAGGCCTTTTTATGTAATAATTTGCAAAAGTTAAAGTCCATGATTAGTGGCGATCGTGTAGGCCATTGCTCGAAGTTGGAGATACGAAATTATATAGACCAAAGGGATGCCCTTATTTGCACTGTGGTAGTATGAGCAATCGCACCAATAGTGGGTCATCGCTGTTTTGACAGGTATTCTTCACCTTTCTCAAATTCGTCTCTCCAGCGATCAAGTTCCTTTTACATTTACTTGAAAGGTATTCACCACTTCGGAAAAGGACTTACTTTAGTCTGAAGGAGGTAAAAGCTCTGGATCAAAAGCTACAGACAGGACTTGAGTTTTATTATACAAATACAAGTGATGAAGATACAGTGCTCGTCTGCTACTAGAGAGAGAGTTCGTTTTACTTGAAGTTGTATGCCTGACTAAACATTGGTCTTTTGACTTCCACTCTGGAAGCCGCTGCTTGGAAGTCCGTTACTGCCACCAGAAAATGGGTTCCCATTTGAGGGAAACAGCTGATTACCTAGATTTCCGTTAAAGCCATTACTTCCTAGGTAACCTCCACTCATTCCTTCGTTATTTCTCTGGTTGTAAGGAAACCCATTATTCAAACCCTGCTGTCCAGCACTTGCACCACTGAAGGGACCGCCGTTGTTGCTCCCAATCCATAGGAAACTGCCTTTGTTTCTCAAGAAATCGCCATCGTTTCCAAAGAGCCCACCATTACCGCTTTGGAATCCATTTCCATTTGGGAACTGACCACTGCCGTTAGGAATTCCTCTGCTACCATTATTGAATCCCCCGCGGCTCCTTGAAAGACCATTGTTGCCTCCCTGAAATCTTCCAAGATTTCCAAAGTTGTTTCCCGGGTATCCATTGTGGTGATTTTCGTTGATCCATGTATTCCTGTTTGGGAATCCAGCATTGTTCTGTTATCCGTTGTCGTTGTTGTTATTCCAGGGATATCCTGTCTTGCTGTTTCCGAATCCGCCGTTATTTCCATTGAAATCATTATTGCTACCTGGTCTTCCATTGATGTCGTTAATACCTAAACATTTTGTTAGTTATGTTCTCAAGAGGGCCCAAGCTTTTGCCATGGCATATGGATTGGATTTACCTGGGAATTCGTTCACTGAAGGCAGGTAAAGCCTCATTATATATTCAGCGACTGCTTTTTGCTTAGCGTCGAGCGGTTTGGCTAGATCGGTTATCTCGGTGAAAGCACTTGCAATTGACTGTTTCTGG